TCCCATTGAGATACAAAAAACTTACTCAATGAAAATGATCAAAGAAGGGGGGATAATTATAAAGCTCTTTAAAACAAGGGAGAAAGCAAATTCAACATGGTCCAAATCACTCCAGAACTCTTACAATCATATTCGCTTAATCTATGATTCAGAACGAAATATTTAAAAAGACAACCCTAATGCCATAGCTTTATTAAGTTTTTGAAAGTAGAACCATTACGAAGAACAAAGAAGGGATCTTTGCACTGTCCTCCAAAGATCTGAAAATATTTTCACATAAGATGAGCGGGCAAAGGACAGTCCAAGAAAAAATAAGTGATATCTTCAGTGTATTTTTGGGAGTGGACACACGAATTAGGGAGAAGAGCATAGCCAGATGAAAAGTTTGCCTCTTGCCGTTAGTATTAAGGCCCGAGATAAATCATTTAAAAGAAACCCTCAATCTCCATAGGATAATATGTTTAAGTACAGGTAGAGATGAAGCACGTACCTTCCAAAGTAGCATATGCCTCCAAATATCAATGAGAACAGGGTTGCACTCTCCCATCTGCAAATACAATACTGCATAAACACCAAAAATGAACATTTTCTTTGTATGATTGCAAAGATTGGAAATAAGTTCTAATACTAGGGGTTAACGATGGTTGGACTCCTTGTTCATACAAGGGAATGCCGAGAAAAGTGGTCAAGATATTGGAAGAACGAGCGACATAAGCTATCAGAAGGGCGTAGTGAATGAGAATGTATGACCAACTGCAAGTTGCAAAATATTATTGTCAGATTTGACAGACATGGATGGGAGAAAAATGAAGGAGGCCATAATAATAAATAAACAGATTAAGAATCAGTGATCAATGGTTTATCACATCATTCCACAAGCAGCTACGTGCTTAATTTTGTTTAACCCTCTATCATTTCCATACGATCGTCAAAAGATGAATAGGGAACATTGACATAGCTCACCACATATATGGCTGCCTTTCATAATTGGTCTTTCTACATTATTTATTTTCATGTTTAGTGTTATGTCCTTGTTCTAAGTCTCTAATACAACCTCACTTTTATCCATCCATAACTATATATAATAAAATGAATAACTCTGTCAAGTTTATTGGGCTCATTAGTTTTAAAGGTAAAAGCTCCATACAAAACTTTTAGTTGCCCAATAAAAATGACAAATTGAACAATAATATGATCACCATCAGCTGTTAGGTATCAAGTAGATAACGATACTTAAAATTTGACAGAGATGCTTGCAACATTTTGTCTCTATAAGAACATTTCAAAATTCAATACTTGGCAACAGATAGACATTAAGTAGAGCTTAAAACAATTACATCTCAACCTACCAAGAAACTTGAACTCCAACTGTCCCAAGAGTTCTCATGGCCATCGATACCTGAAACATTATAGTTTAAGCTCTCATATCTCGATGCTTATCATATACAAAAAATACTGCAATAGGAAAATATAAATTTCAGTGGTCGGGAACAAATTAACCCTCACAAAAGCAAAAATAAGAACTTGGAAAACTTGAGAATGGGAATTACATTGTCAAATTTTTCATCAGGTTTCTCCTTTTATAGTTCATGCATTAAAGTTTAATGTTTTCCTTCCCTCTTCTTTCCAGTAAAGAAATTGAATGCAAAGTCATTCAAAATTCAACATGAATTCCACATTACAATTTCTTGAACTCACTTTTCATAATTTTAACTTTAGCATGTTCATTTTTCTGTAGGTTTGCTGTGATTTAGTTTGCATGGTTGGAGAACAACGAAGAACAGCACACCTTTGCAAAATAATAATAAAGAACAGTACTTCACTTTCTGCTAAGAGATGAAGAACCGATAACGACTTTATAATTGAAGATGAATTCCTATCAGAACTTTGATTAATGATTCAATCTCACAACAAGGGAATAAATCTCAAAACTTTTGACAATGAACTGCTGAGTTTATATTACTTGTTCAAATATCCTTATTAGTATATCTCGTCCCAATGCTCAAGTTGAATGCGCATTCAAGTATGTATTTATCCTTTGAAAAATTAATATTCATTTCACCCTAAAACTTTATAAAAGACCTTACCAGAGACACGCCACCAGAACCCAGTTCACACATGGTGTTCACATTGACTTCAGCAATTAGGAGTCCTGTCACAACCTGCATGGTTCCATTAAGTAACTGACTTATTATTTCAGGACGACAATATGGGATGAAAGAAAGCATAAGTCCAGGATAAACTTTGTATCGTTTTACAAAAGTTTTATGTTGGTATCATAGTGGTGCTGCTGGCTGAGAAATTGACATTTAGAAACAATATAATTCGTAAGCATAGTCCTAGTTCTCCTTGTCCTTTGAACTTGGGCTTAAAAATCCTATTGTTGAAGTGGTTCTTATAGAACTTTAGAAACAAAGTGCCTCGTAAGGTTTTCTTGTTTCCAGTTTCTTTTGTATTATGTCGGTGTTTTTTTGTGTTCCCTCTTCTTTTTAAAAATATAAACGTGTTTAATAACCATTTCTAATATTCCATTCTCCAAGTACTTAAATTAAACAAATGAAAGTTTGATTTGAAAATAAAGAAATAGAAAAGGTGGTAAACAAGCTTAATTTTGGAAAACAAAAACTTTATCAAACAGGACAAAAAAAAAAAAAAAAAAAAAAAAAATTGTTTCCAAAATTTGTATACAAGTCACTGAAAAAGGTTAATAGCATACAGTAAATTATAAAACTTCCTTAATTTCTGTTCCCTTAAATATTTTCAGATCTGTCGATTTTGACTGCTTGAATTATATCTTAGACAGTAATTATAGTGAATCTCTCTTCAATACCTATAGACTACAATACAGCAAAGTTTGCTAAGATTGTATGGATTAAAATGTAATGCAGGCAACCAATTTAGAAGTGCTTGAAATTTTTTAAAGAGATAAACAAATAAAACTACCTACAGACTACAGGCAAATTACCAGACTTCTTACTTCAAAAGAGTTCATACCTTGAGCCCAAGTGGGAAATCCAAGAAAGTGAAATTTCAAATAAATGGCGTCATTTTATAAGGATGGGCAATGGACTAAAAAATCCATAGAATCCTTGGGAAACAACAATAGGCAATACAATATGGATTTAAAATATAAAAATGTGATAGAACTGCACAACCATGCTGTGATTGCATTCCATGCAAATTTGAACTCTAGTATAATAATAAAATTTTGAGTTCAAATTTTGATAAACATATATAAAACGATATATATATACAAGCTGCTATAGTTTTACCATGTACACCCAACAAAATGTGCACGTAATAGCTGAGGCTAGAAATCCGGATTCTTGAGTTACAGCAGGAATGGCGAGGATCCCAGCACCAATCTGGATACAGGCCCAACATATATTTTACCATTCAAAAAAAAAACTTGACCCGCATTAAAGGAAAACATTACCGAGAAATACCCATGATATATTTATGAACTCTTACTTCATCTTTATCAGTGCATAAAAAATTGGTCCATTTACAGAGTATTTTGAGTACGACAAATGAGGCAGAGGAACTTGAACTTCCAACCTTGAACGAAGGAGTGGATGTCGTTGGCATTCATTTACAGAGTAATATCACAAGTTAATTATAATTTATATGAAAACATTTGTAGTTGCATCTTTGCCTAAAGCCTCGGCCCTCGATTGAGGAAGATTTATTCCATTTATCTTTATGTTGGACTACTGCAACTAATTCTGATGAAATATAGCAGAGCGCGAAGAACAAATTCTAGTCAAATGTTTTTCAAAAGGAATAATAAGAAGGAAAAGAACGTGCAATGTTGAAATGCTTACAGTAGTCCCAGCCACCAGGAAAATCGCGCTGGATAAACTTCCTGCCGCACCACAAATCCAGAGCAGAGAGAATCAAAGACAAATTATAATTAGTTTTCAACTCCCAATGAAAATGCGAATCAAAGAATCAGAAGGAACCGAAAAACCACCAGGTTCTCGCTTGAATGTAACTTGATTAAGGTTGGAGAATAGCCTCTCCAATTCGTACTTTTCCGACTCCTCTTCCTTATCGATTTCCTTCTCTTGTCCAGACACAGAAGACTCCACCGGCCTCCGCGAGAAGCTGGTGGACATAGTTCTTAATCTAGTACGAAGAAGCGAGTAAGGACGCAGCCGAAGTGACTCAACAGTAGACCGCAGGCAAGACACATTCCGCTGGGAAAAACCGAGGCTTCTTCTTGCCGATTGAACGGCGGGAAATGGAAGCCGAAGACAGGAAGAAATCGACATTTCTACCTGACCGGCCTGCGATTATTATCGAAATCCTCAAAATGAGAAGAAGAGGATCGATCGTTGAGAAGAAACTCGAACCGATTGTCTGAAGAAAGTAAACAAAACAGGAAGAGGCGGGAGAAAGTTGGAAGGTAACCGAGAAGGAGAAGCCATGGTGGGGATTGAAGAGCTTCGAAGGTTGAGGCTGAGAGGACCCACTCAACTGAAAAGAGATAACGTGGACCCTTAATTTCTCCAACAGGCGGACGCTACGTGTCAACTAGTTAAAAGTTTTCTCCAACTTCCAATATTAAATATGACCGTTAATTTCTATATATATATATATATATATATACACATACCCCTACCCCTATTGTAACCATACAAAATTTTTACTTAATTTAGAATTTAAAAATATTTTTGAAACCAAATTAAAAATTTAAGGATATTAAAAAAAAAAAAATCGTTAATAAGGAATTAATGAAACTTTTTTATGGTGTAAGGGTATTTTTAAAATAATATTAAAAAATTTAAAGTATTTTTTAAATAAAAATATAAAATATTTTTTAGATTAAAAAAATTTAAGAGTACTCTCGAAACTTTTTGAAATTTAAAGGTATTTTTATGAGAAAATTTAAAAATATTTTTATTAATTTATTTTCTTTTTTAATAAAAAATTTAAAAAATTGAAATTTATTTTATTACTTAAAAAACATTAAAATTTTGGTTTAATTTATGAACAAATCTTCAAAATTTGCACGAAATGGAAAGAATCAGAAGAACTTTGCGAGAAATTTGGTGTCGAAATCAAAATGGGAAGCCCATCTACCAAATTCCAACATCACTCCAAAAGTTTTCATTTATGGGAAATGACCTGGACGCGATTTTCACGTTTTTCACAGATTTCTTACAAGAATCTCTCGGCCCACAATGCAAAAATCTTCATCTTCGTCTTAATCCGCTTCGAAATTCTTCGATTTCTCTTATTTGATCATCTGGGACTGTATCAGTGAAGAATTTCTCAGTCATCAATGGCTTCCAGTAATATCTCTTTTAGTTCGCGGCTTCGATTTCCATCCGTTTCGCCTAGAAAGAATTTCGCCGTCGATTCATTTGGGCCTCGCGGTTCATTTAATTTTGCATCGAGGTCGAAACACCAGAAGAATCCACTCATTCAGAAGGCCATTAGATGTAATTCCACCGCTTCTAAACAACAAGTTGAGGTATAAATATGATTTCGTCTCTTCATTTTGGAATTATTGGAAATTTATTGGTTTATGATCAAATGAAGAGTTTAAATTATGATTCAGTAGCATGGAGCATCGTCCTTACGCAATCTAAGTCTAAAAGGTCGTATCAGAGCAAGGTTAAGAGACTAAGAGACAACTTTTGGTTATGTGATAAGGAATCAACCAAAAGGAAAACTCTTATACCAAATGATAAGTAACTCTTATCATTTGGTATCAGAGCTTTCCTTTGGGTTGGTTCCTTATCATACTGTCCCATAAAAATTTGGGGAATCATTTTGAAATTATGTTTGTTCATCGGTTTCGTTATGTAATTTTGTGATTGTTGGTTGGCTGTTGGATATTTGATAGTTCATACCTTTTCTGGAGAATTTCAAATATCACTAGCATGTGCATGTAGTAATATCTCTAGACAGTTTAAGTCTAGAAAGTCGGATCATTAGAGTTGGTATCAAAGTGAAGTTAAAGAAAGAAAGTTTGGAATTATGTTTGTTCATCGGTTTAATCTATAATACTGAGTTGGTTGTTGTTCGTAAATTAGATCGTTTATGATGCTGATGAAAGGATAAACAAGTTAGCCAACGAAGTGGACCGGAATGCACCTCTTTCGAGGCTTACTCTGTTTTCACCTTGCAAGGTAACAATGGTGTTGCTTCAATTCAAGCTTTGAAATGGTGGGGTTTGCCTCTTATGTTGAGTTTTGTTGATGCAGATTAATGTTTTCTTGAGAATAACTAAGAAGAGGGAAGATGGATATCATGATTTGGCATCTCTCTTTCACGTAAGTAATGGGGATTTTTGGATTTGATGTTATTATCCAATGCAATCGGTACCGAGATTTTAAAGTCGATGCGAGTTTGAGATATTGTTCTATAGTCGAGCTTGTTTCAAGTATTTTGTCGAAATTTCTTTTGACAATGTTATTAGCTAAAAGCGCTTTTTATAATTCAAAAAGTCATACGAAACTCGCCTTTACCGTTTTAGAAGGAATCGAGGTGTTAAGTAACTTTGAGTATCATCTATTTCTCTTAGCTGCTGAATTTTGGATGTTTTTTTTCTTCTGTCTTTAGGTGATAACCTTAGGGGATACAATTAAATTCTCTTTGTCGCCATTGAAGAAGGATCGCCTTTCGACCAATGTATCGGGGGTACCCCTCGATGATAGAAATTTGGTAGTCGTTCTCGAACAATGCTCTTATTCTATTTCTTCTAAGTTTTTTTTGTTGCCATAACTTATTTCTCTACCATATATCTTCAGATTATCAAGGCTCTTAACCTCTACAGGAAAAAGACTGGCTGTGACCAATTTTTCTGGGTGAGTATCTACAGAATGATTATATATCTTTAATGGATGTCATAAACTCTACCTGAATGAATGGAAAATGTCGATACTCGATCGTGAAGTTTGGAACTATGGTTTTATGTGCGAGCAGATCCATCTCGACAAAAAGGTACCAACTGGAGCAGGGCTTGGTGGAGGAAGCAGTAATGCTGCAACTGCACTGTGGGCCGCCAATCAGTTCAGTGGATGTCTTGCTACTGAAAAGGATCTTCAAGAATGGTCAAGTGAGATAGGTTCTGATATTCCCTTCTTTTTCTCGGAAGGGGCGGCCTTCTGCACTGGGAGAGGTGAGGTATGTGTTGGGTTATGAAGTCTGTTGCTTATTTATAGCTTATTCAATTGTTATAGATATTAAAACTATATACGAAAAATGGTCATATATAGTAAACGATAGTAAAAAGCGTGATAAAGATTGGTAAAACTATATATAAGTAAACTGAAACCATATGTATACTCCTTAGATAGAGCTTTGAAGATGTACTTTCTGCATTCTCTCTATTAGTGTACATATACGAAGTCATCAATACAAACCTTTAACCAATATTCTACATTACATTTTCTCTCCTGTTCTTTGTGATTAAATGTGTGCGTTATTGTGCGATCCTAAGACTCTCATGTTCTTTGTGTTTATCTAAATCGAGTGTGTGCGTTGTTGTGTGATCCTAACACTCATGTTTTTTGTGTTCATCTAGATCAAGTGTGTGCGTTGTTGTGTGATCCTAACAATATGTTTAGATAGCTACAAGCGTTAATAAGAAATATACAGTTGAAATTGGAAATGCCTATTATTTCTCTTTCGCATCGATACCCATAAGTTCTAGAAATTGGCATTTTGAGTCGGATTTGATAGAACGAGCATCTTCTGTTTCTATCCATAAATCAGTGGACATAATCAAAGATTCTTTTGCTATTATCCATATACGAGTTCTCGTGTTTATCATTATCCGTGTGCATCGCCTGGAATAGTTCGATTGCCAATGCTAATTCTGAAAACCAAGGAGCTCGGAGCTCGTGGTGACTCTTTCTAGATGAATGATTTATTCTTGGCTGGCATTTGAGAAACTTTCATGTTTTCTCTTTCTTTTACAGTTCGTGCAGAATATTCCTCCTCCGGTACCCTTGGACGTTCCGATGGTTCTCATAAAGCCCCAGGAAGCATGCTCTACAGCAGAAGTTTATAAGGTAATGGAAATTTTAGTATATGGTGAGAAAAAGGAGAATTAGTTCTTGTTTCCATTTCATAATCAAGATTGGTTTATATTCCTCAGCGCTTACGGTTGGATCGAACAAGCGATGTCGATCCTTTATCATTGTTGGATAAAATCACAAAGAATGGAATATCACAAGATGTGTGTATCAATGATTTGGGTACGTGAGTTCGTTTAATGTTCACTCGAACAAGCACTCGAAAGCTAGTTCAGTTCATTTGGATAGGTGAAATTACATAATGCTTTGCCTTAAAACTTTCAAGTCCGCCGAACATAATATTGTACCTGATTGCTTTAAGCGATGTATGAACATTCATGACTTGCTTTGCATATCAGCTTTAGAACGCGCACTCTCGACTTTCGTGGATCTTTCATGTTTCTTTTATGTTGACACATTTGTATTTATTTTGATCTTCGACATTCTTTCTCCTCAGAACCTCCTGCTTTTGAGGTCCTCCCGTCGCTTAAAAGATTGAAACAGCGTATAGTCTCAGCCAGCCGTGGAGAGTTTGATGCCGTTTTCATGTCCGGGAGGTAAGAACGTCGAAATTATTATTTGAGTATCAGTTTATCCTTTTTCGTATGCTGTTTTTATGCCAAGACAATGTCAGGTGTTCTTTGTAAAGCTTTTGATTAGGTAAGATTATTAGTATAAACATCTTATCATCACTTCAAATTTCATTTCATTCAGTGGTAGCACAATAGTAGGAATTGGGTCTCCAGATCCTCCAGGCTTCATCTATAACGACAATGAATTCCCGGATGTGTTTTTGGCAGGTAACAATCTGAACGCTCCTTAACTAGTTTCCTCTAGATTTTTCGACGTCGTGCTACCATCAATGCACAAGTCATTGTTTGGAAAATTTTGGAGCTTAAAATGCATTTCTAGTACACCATATTCGAGGATCTTACCATGTGCTTTCTGTAAACACTTTCGAAAGAAATTTCTTTTTCAATGTTCTTTGGAATATGTAACCGCCCAAGTCCACTGCTAGCAGAAATTGTCCGCTTCGGCCCGTTACGTACTGTTGTCAACCTCACAGTTTTAAAATGCATCTACTACTAGGGAAAGGTTTTCACACCCTTCGTTCTCCTCTCCAATCGATGTGGGATCTCACAATCCATCCTCCTTCAAGGGTATGAAAATCTTGAGGCTGATGGTAATGCGTAACAGGCTAAAACGGACAATATCTGCCAGCGGTGGGCTTGAGATGTTTAAGAATATGTTTTGAGTAGTTTTATATTCACTTTTAATTGACTTTAAAGTAATAACTTCTTTATGTTGTCCTCGTAATTATGAATGTTTATGCATAATATTCTTAGAACTTTAGATAGTAAGATTCCTATTGAATGAACATTCATAGATTTCCCTTTTCTCATGCGTTTTACAGACTTCTCCAGTGCTTTATTAATTTGTTTCCAAATGTTTGGATAGAATCTTAACTGAAAAGTTCTGAATGCAGAGGCCAACTTTCTCACCCGTGAAGCAAATCAATGGTATCGAGAACCCGCTACAGCATCCGCTTGTAGTCCACGGTCCGAGCATCGCAAATCTGCTGCATAACTGGCTCCTCACTCCTAGGATGAAATAGAGGTTCAGCTTATGATTCCTGTAGACTGAGACTTCCTGTATCACTTTAAACTACATCCATTGTTAACTTGCAAATTGATCCCGAGTTCTCATTTGTGACCTTAACTGGCTTTAATCTCGGTCTAGGAAAAAACGAGCGTGAATATAAACATAATAATTAATAATGCAAACGTTGAATTGGTATCGATGATCATTACTAGAACGCTCATCTCAATGAGAAACATTCACCATGAAGAATCTAAAAGAAGGAACAAAAAAGCTAATAAAGATTCAATCAAACTCACTTTTCTTTTTCTTCCTTTCATTTTCATTTATTTTCATAAATTTTCCTCTCTTCTTATGGAGGAGAGAAGACAAACTGTCTAGGAAAACTGAAAATATCCTTTCCTTCAAATGGAGAAGTCCACTCTCTAGAACCATTAGTTGCTGATGTTTCAGAAGCAACTCCATTTTGCAATCCAGCCATTGGAACTCTATTGAAATTAGAAGGCACCGACGATGGTATGAACGGCTGAGCATCCACCAAATGAGCAGTGTTCGATTCGTAAAGATGGGCGTTCTTCTGCATATAGGAATTCAGCCCCTGCAACAACCCACCAGGTCGGACCGAAGTTAGGCCTTTATCCACAGACCAGTCTATGTCGGAGTAATCTAAATGTGGCATTGAACTTCCCGTGTTCCAATCTACGGGAGACGATGCCCCTGATTGTGTTGAACTTGTTCCTGAAAATAGTCCAAGGGAGGAAGCAGCAGCTATGGTAGATGATGCACCTGTTCTGCTCCATGAAGTATTGGTGCGGGTGGCTTCAGGGAAGCCCCCACGGCTGTTACTAGAGACAAACTGTTGCTGATACTGAACTTGAGGATACGTCTGATTTAAGGTTACATCACTTGGCTTGAAGCTTCTTGAGCTGTGAATCTGCGACAAAAATCCATTGGACGATTTAATAGATCCAAGGCTATTAGCAGTATACCAACTAGAAGGCGGCGATGAACTTATAGTTCCAACCGACGGTTGCATCATCGTGTGCAAAGATGCATTCCGACCCTGTACTATTGAACTTGGTTCTCTCACTGAACCAGATTGAAAGCTATTAATCTCAGAACCAACAGTTAAATAACGAGTTTCATTCTTGATTGGTGGAGATGACAACTGGGTGGGTGTTGATGATAAAGAGAAGGACAAGGGGTTAGTTCCCGCACCTGGCCACCTTTTCTCAGCTGTTGTGATTTGTTCATAATGTCCCCAATCCATCTTCGGCTGATTCCTCAAAGGCTGTGGTATACTCTTGCCAATGGATTCTACAGACAAACCAGCTGTAATTGTTCCTTTTGTGTAATTAAAATCTTTTTCATCCTTTCTTTGTTGTATTGAAGGATGATTAGGCTTAGCTTGCGGTCTTAATAAGGCTTGACTAGCATTGCCAGAAAACTTACTGCTTAAAGCACTTGGAGGATCACCGGTTTCTTCGGGCTTAGGAGGAGCAGCAGGCGGATCTAGCTTCAATTCTCTCAAGGATTCGGCTGCCTTCTCCAGATCGCCTTCAGAAGCAACAATAGCTCTCTCAACTTCTAGTTTTGTACACTTGAACTGTGATTCCAAGTCTGCTATACGAGCAAGCTCTTCTGATATGTCAAGTTTAAGGTTTTGCCCACCAAGATTTTGATTCGAAGAATCACTTGTCTCTTCACCACCTTCCAAAAGCCATGCAACTGACTCCTCTATGTTGCCTTCGTTTAGCATTAGAGCTACGGTTGCTCGATCTTGTGAAAAGCCCATGGCAACTAATTGCTGTGCAAGAGCTTCAAGCTTTCTGGACATCAGGTAGCCACTACAGCGTTCGTGTAATTCCTGAGCACGTCTCTCTTTTTGACGCTGATGCTTCTTCTCATTCTTTTGACGAATTTTTTCTCGTTTGTCAATGTCTGCCCCTGGAATTGTTTCTTGCCGCACAGTCAGGTTAGATTTTTTGTCTTTATGGTCCTCTGACTCACCAGACCAGCTACCATTGTTAGAAACAGTATCATACTCTGCCGCTGAAGAAAGCAAAACTCCAGAATGAGCATCTGTATCATCTATGTTCTTGAAACGGCCATTGGAATGGAGAGGTGAAGAAGCAGATACTGTTGATTCAAGTGCATGGAAGGTGCCTGAGAGAGGATTATATGCACTAGCTGGAACACTACTACTACCAGCTGCAGCAGGGCCTGTCGGCTTTGATGTAGGCTTCTGAAGTTCTTTGATGACTTTCTTGTCTTTTGGTTTAGATTTGGAAGCAGGAGACATCTCCACAGCTAGGAAATTCCTTCTGAAATGTGCAATACACAACATCAGATTCTGTAATATAACAACTTTTTTTATATAGGAAACATGAACATTTCATACACGAAAATACTGTCGACTTGAACACAATCAATTTTCCATGTAATGTGAAAGCCATGTAAGCACTGAAAATGTAAAACGCAAGACACTTGACAACAAAACACACAGAGAATGAAAATACGCACGAACAACTCTATATCTGTCTGATGAGACCCTTTAATTCAAACAATAACCTACGACACTGCTTTATATACTTACCTGATCACTTTTTCTTGGCGAGTTCTAAGTGAGCACTATTATATTATGAAATAGCAAAACCTTCTGTTCTAATCTCTAGCACAGTAACTCATCGGTTCCAATCTCAACATGGCATGGAATTTGCAAATACAAGATTCATTATGAATAAAAGAAACAATTGTAGTTGATATTATTTATGGTTATCTGTCCAGGAACAAATGAAGACTATTGCATTCGGCCTCATCCTTTTCTACTCCTGCTGAAATAACAAACAAGAACAAAACAAAAGAGATTTCTCTTCATCATTAAACTCTTCAATTTCTTTATGGTCATAAGTTACAAAAGAGGCTCTAGTGAACTATAAAAGCAAGACTTTTACCTCACTCATTAAAGAGTGAGCACCATGAATGACACCCTGGAAGCCATTGACGTTAATGGAGGAGAGCAGTTTTCCAATTAAAAGAGAGGAGGATTTGGTTCCAGAACTGTTCAGAACAGACAGACTCCTAACTATGAGATCAGTCTCCCGCTACTACATTAAAAAGAAATCATCCTCCACTAAAATCAAATGCAACGATCCTACACTTCATAAGAAAAGTTACGTTAACTGAATTCCAAGACCTAGTATAAGCATATCCTAAAAAAGCTCTTCCAAGTCCAGAGCTCAAATGACATTGTTGAATCTAACATCACAGTGCCCGGCTAACCACTGTATAAGCATTTAGCAGAGCGAACTAGCCTCTTTCTTTTCCCTCTAAAAAACAAATAGTATGGTCCTTACGACTAGCAATATCCATAGCAGGAGAAACAAACACCTAATTGGAACTACAGTATGAGATACGGGAGCCTAAATCTTCTAAAAACATGATATGAAAAGAATTCCAATCTCCCGGACACTTGCGACATTGCATCGAACATCAGTAAAAAACCAACAGAAGCCATAACAAACGATGCAATCCAGAAGCGAGTAGGTAATAACAAAAAGTCAAAAAACCAAAGTTCATTCCAAGTTCACGCGCAACATTCAATTCAATTCCAGTTCCTCCAAACCACAAACAAACAACAGAAAATTTAAAATCAATGCGACACCGCCAAAGATACAACTGAAGATTCAAAGGAAAGCACCAAAATCCACAGGACGACACGGACGAAAATTCGCACTCCGAAGCAGCCAAACTCCACAGAACGCAGAAAACGCATGTAACATTTGAAGTTGACTGAAGAAAATGGTCCAAAACACAAGACGAATAAGAAAAAAGAAGAATGCGAACTCGAACATAGTTGGGAAGCGGATATCAAAAGGATTTTGATAAGAGCCAGCAAGCGAGAGAGAGAGAGAGAAAGCAACCTTGGAGCTTCAACAGCGGCCCTGAGTTGGTGCCGTTGACGTTGGTGATTAGATACGGCGGAAATTACGGACGAGCGACAATGGTGAGGAGAGGAGAAATGGGATGGGTGTCACAGAAGAAGAACATATGAAATTAGGGTTTTGAAGAGAGAGAGAGAGAGAGCTAAAAGGAGAGAGAGATTTTGGAATAATTTCAAAAGTATCATTCCAACTAAAATCTAGACTTTCTCATCCCGGAAAATTTTTGGACGGATTTGTATACACAGTATATTTTTTTTTATTATATACTTTTAAATCATATATTAATTTTTCTACAAATAATTATTAAGATTTCAAAAGAAAGAGAATATTTTATGTTTGTAGCTGTTATGTTTAATATAACAGTAAATAAGTAATTTTTTTAAATAATTAAAAATAAAATATAATATCCTAATCCAAAATACAATATACCAATCCAATCTTAATCCAATTCTACTTGAATCGAAGAAAATAAAATAGAGTTGGATTAGGCTGTGAAATCAATTTGAATCCAAAAATTTAAATTGGTACAAACGATATTTCAAAAATGAAAAAAAAAAAAATCACAGACAAAAAGCTATATTCTAAATATAAAATATTAGAAATAAATCTTATAACAAAAATGAGCTAAGAACTTCAAAAAAGACGAGTTCGAACTTTGGTTCGGTTCAGTTTTTAAAGGATAAAAATGAATCAAACTTGGTTGAATTGAAAACCGAGGTTTAGTATTGTTGGAAACCAAGCGGTCCAGCTCTGCTCGTTCGGAAAAAACCGAACCAACAATAATGCAGTTATTTAGCCATTTATAATAGTGAAAAGAATGAACTAAAGAATATCTGTGGCAAAAGGTGAATTAGACCCAAAAGAATCATGAAACTCAAAAGCCAAAAAGGAGTCCGAAACAAGCCATTGTCATTTCAGCCCATATGTGAGAATCTTTGATGCAACAAGAATGTGCTTATTACACAGATGCCGAAATGCTCACAGGATAAAGAACGAATAAAATCTCTTGCTCGGCCATCACGAGTATGTGTCTAAACTAGCTGAATTTTGCTTAGGTCAGAGTTTGGACTTCTGACATCTTGATCGAGCATAGAGATCGACTTGAATTTCTGACCTTTTCAGACAGTATATAGAGTGCTATAATCAGGTAGGCCATCCATCACCAATGGAACATATTTACAATTCATTTCATCTCTAAACCCCCTTTCCACAGTGCAAGTCAAAGCAGCAGGTGGTATGACCTTTTCTTGGAACAGCTATAGATATCACAACTCATTCTTATTTCTTATAGCCCTATTTGTTGTGACACATAAGTTTCACCTACATGCTCAAGTTGAGAAGAGATATATACTTAGTAATTGAAAGGAGGCCATTCGGGGTAACTTATCTCGTTATCTTGCTCACGATTGGTAGATGCGCGGCCATTTCTACCGATCCTGCTGCTGAAACGAGTGCCTGCACTTTGAGGAGTAAAAAAGTCTGGAAATGCAAACCTCCTCCTCAGGATAATCTCTCTCTCATTTGAGACTTCACCGTTACTGCTACTGTTCCCTCCCCAACCGTGCCTGCTATCCTGCTGAGGCAGCTCGAGTCGACAAACCGGGCAGGTATTGTGCTGGACCAGCCAAGGAAGAATGCAATCTGCGTGATAGATATGATTACACGGCATCTCTTTGGCTTCAGATCCCAGCTCAAATTTTTCTTTACAGACTGGACAATGAGTGTCTGTGCCAAGGTGCATTTGGTTGATCTTGATTGTAGGCATTGCTTCTATAGAAGAGTGAGAAGCAGGAGTTGGAACTGGATCCCTTTGTTCGTTGAAAGAAAGTGCAGCTAATGCTTCCAGCGCCACATGCTGACTCGATCTACCTTCTGGAGCGACACTAGCGAAGGATGGACCAGGAGCATGTTCGTGGAATGACCAAAACGAATTGAAAATATCCAAATTCTGCCCTGGGATAGAATTGGATCTCCTCCTTACGTCGAAGTTCGGATTTCTTCCAGCCATTCTTTCTCTGGTAAGAGCATCAACAGCTTCATCAAGAAGTCTAAACCTTGGATACGGATTTCTTCGCCCCATCAATGCAAACATGGCTTCAAAAATTGGAGGCACCTGGCTTGAAAGATCATCTTCTATGGCTGAATGGAAGTCATCTTGAACCGCGTCATCATGTACATCATTAAGCTCTTCAATGAAACCACCATTACAGTAAGGGCAAGCTATGTCCTCGCCATTAAGCAAGAAGGAACGGTTGCACTGATAGCACCAATGAGTGTCTTCCCCACCAGATGACATCCTCCTTTCAAATGCAAAACCTAAAAGAAAAGCCCAGGTTCTGTACCTAAAAGTAGAGGATGCTGCAATGAAATGCTCATTGCTTAAGAAAATCAATTGTGAAGACAAAATCAAACATTCATCCACAAGAAACTAATGCATGTGAAGAACTAATTTATAACAACGATAAATCCTAGGAATAGCTTATTGAAATCAAGAATAATTTGCCATGGGATACAATTTGGAAAAAGAAAAAAAAAGAAATCTAACAACTTGGTTAAATTCAGAAAATGTCCTTAAAATGGAGACATACCTGGTGATGATTTCATTGAAGATTAAAAAAAAAATAGTAGAGTAAATGTCACGAAGGTAGTTCATAAGTCTTACAAAAAAAACCGAGAATATAAGAAAGGATTAGAGTTGTATAAGCTTAGCCCAGCCATGCAAGCGGCCTCCAATTAGTTTGGAAAGGGATCTAGGTATATACTCATTGATTGGATTCTCAACCATTCAAGATAAAGGCAGAGTGAAATTACACTTTAATCCCTATATCTTCACCTATATATCGATTTGGTCCGTGTACTTTAAGAATGTTTTTTTGATTAAAGATTACCAAAAATCCCCCACGTTCAGATGAGGATAACATTAATCCAATGTAACATACTGTTTTGATGCTGTGAGCATCTACTGGGTCCATATTAGTTGAAAAATATGAATTTGGGCAAAGTTAAAAAGTATCATTTTGGTTGAAAATTTGATCTTACAACATTAGGCATGGGATTCTTCGCTGTTGATAACGATTCAATGAGCTTTGACAGATAAAAGGAAAATAGAGAGATGGAAACATGACCTAAAAATGTAGTTTAGCTATAAGAAATGACAAATCCCAAACACAATCATGTGGCTTAATAGGCTAAAAATTTCATCATTTCAGCTTGATAGCAGGCAATTAATAGGAGTACGTTCACTGTCTCCATTTCTTCTGACAAACTTAGAGATGCAGCATCCACATGATACCACATTTCTCGTCTCTCACAACCAAAGGAGACAATCTCCTGTAGCTGAGAGGAAATTCCCTCATTACAGACGCCATCTCCTCAAAACATAATCATCGCTCACACTAGACTTTCAATCCGTCATCCGATTCAAACAATTGCACAAGGAAACAATCGAAAATCATCAAAATTAAACAGAATCGCGCCAGAGATCAAATCAGTCACTGAGTTCAGATTATTTCATGCATCAAACAACGATCCGATACCGATACAGAATCAATCAAATACGAAAGATGCAGAAACATAACCATCCCTAATTTGAAATTGAACAGGAATTAAAGTAAAGAAAAACGTACCGGCGTTGAATTAGACGCAGTGCAAGCTACGGAAGAGGGAGAAACATGAACAGTGGTGGCGATTTGGATCAGGGGGAGAGAGAGAACGAGAGGACCTCGAGCAACAAAAATTGCTCAGCGGGGTCCAGGCCTGTTCCGATTGACTGATTCACCGAACTTGTAAATGTTTTTTTCCCTTAAAAAAATAATTTAATAAATTAAGTTTATTAACTGATAATTATTTTTATAAATTAAACTCTAAAAATAAAATTAACTATTTCATTTATTTTGAGAATTTTTTAAAAATTTAAAAATATTTGTAAGAGAAAATATAAAATTTAGGGATATTTTTATTAATTTAAGAATAATTATAAATTAATTTAATCATTTTTACATTTTAAATTAACTCTCTGAATTATTATGAAATTTTTAATCACCATAAATGTAGCACGTGCGAGGAGGTAATTGGCGCGCTATGTTCCTCGGCGGAGAGCGAATCTGACACGTGCGGTCTTCCCGACTTTCACAGCACTTCGTTTATGCGATATTTTTATTATTCCATTTCTTTTCGCCATTTTGTGGAGAAAAAAATTATATCAGATCGACTTTTTCGCTTCTTTCTGGAAAACCCTCCGTGGATTGGATTCTCGTTGATTTTCTCTTCCTCTTACATCGACGACCATGGCCGAACAGCTCACTGATGATCAGATCTCCGAGTTTAAGGAGGCGTTCAGCCTCTTCGACAAGGATGGCGATGGTTGATTTCTTTTTTATTTCTTCGTTTTTTTTTTTTTTTGGGATTAATCTTGGTTTGATGCGGTTTTGAGTTTTGTTTTTCTTTAGATCTGACTGTTTGTTTTGTTGTGTTGGCGGTGTTTTGTGCTTGATCTAGAGTTTAGGTTGTTTTGCTACTGGTTTGGGTGATTTTTTAGTGAGGATTAAGTGTTGTGTATTTGGATCTGGTATGATCTCGTTGTTGCGTGTTCGAGTGTGCTCTCTCTTTTTGGTTGTTGATTATATTTGTTTTTTGGAGCTTTTTTAGGATGGCGATCTTTTAATAATGTGTTGGAGAGTTGTTTTCATGAAATGATTCTCCACGGTTGTGGCCGATGATGTTTGCGTTCTCTTTGTTTGGTGTGCATGGACGAGTTTTCTCGTGGTAATTAAGATGTGTGATGTGATATGCTAATTGGATTTTTGGAATGAGAAAAAGTGTTGTTGCTCATTTTCGTTTGTTTCATAGAGATTCAACAGCTTGAACTGGAGTTTGTTTGAAAGATTAGTGTTGCATTCTAATTACTTGTCAACTCCGATGAGTTGATTTATTGATGGATGTGATTTTGCAACTGTTGTTGCTGGCGAAACTATTGCAAGAGGTTTGAGTGCACATTTATACCTGCCCTTGGTATGCTAGAAATGCCTATGGTGTTTAATTTAGGTTTGAATTTCAGTTATTTGCTGAATAATATAAATGGAAATGATACTTTTGATCTCCTTTGCTTTCTACAATCTTCGGAATTTCTGGCGATGAGGTATGATGTTTTCCTGTATGGTTGACGTCTAAATTGTACAAGTTCGTAGAATGATAGATGGGTTTTCCCTTTGTCTGAACTTTGACTAGATTTATGTTTCATTCTTGTCAATCTCTTGAAACCATTTCTTATCTATGGATACATAGACTAGCTATAATTATCAACCCCTGTCCCTCTATGTTTTATAAATATATTTTTCCCCTTATCTTTCTTGGCTTCTTTTTTGGACATTTCGATCTGATCCTATGATATAAGATAATTTTACATTGGGATGATGCAGGCTGTATCACCACCAAGGAGCTTGGGACTGTGATGAGATCACTTGGCCAAAATCCTACTGAAGCTGAGCTGCAGGACATGATCAATGAGGTGGATGCTGATGGAAATGGAACCATCGACTTCCCCGAGTTCCTGAATCTGATGGCCCGGAAGATGAAAGACACTGACTCAGAGGAGGAACTGAAGGAAGCCTTCCGTGTGTTTGACAAGGACCAGAATGGTTTCATTTCTGCAGCTGAACTCCGCCACGTGATGACAAATCTCGGTGAGAAATTGACTGATGAAGAAGTCGATGAGATGATTCGCGAGGCTGATGTGGATGGCGATGGCCAGATTAACTACGAGGAATTCGTTAAAATCATGATGGCTAAGTGAGAGATTGACAACATGAAAAGGGAACCTTATAGAGGCTAAGAACCGAGAGAGAGGTTAGCGCAAAACTATATATATCCTACTGGAGCAATTCAATCTAGGATGCTTCTTTTTCGTGATACTAGCTATAGTTGGTTCTCTCTTGTTTGCAGAATTTATGGTACTGTATTCCGGTATTGTTTGCTGTGTCTTTTTTTTCTCTTCTTTTCTTTCCTTTTTCAGTAGATTAGATAGTGGGGTCTTCTATCATTAATATTTGCTGTTTTCTTTTGCTCCCCAAGATGTATTTCGACCTGTTGTTAATGCTTGAATATTTATTGGGTGGGATTTTCTTTGATCACATGGCTTACCAAGATGTAACGTCCTCGAGCATAGGGCTATATCGCTTCCATCTTCGAGGCATAAACTTGCAGGTGGCTAATATGTGTCTTAAGTAGGCAACCATCATAACTTGAAACTACTCGTTTTACTACGTAGTGTTGATCTCGATATCAATATAGATTCAACTCTGTTATGGTACTTGGAAATATGAAAAAATAAATCACGATTCAATTCCTAATCCTCTTCATCTATGACGCTGGATTATGAAAATGGTCATCAAGAATATGAGACAAAAAAATTTATGGTGTTGCAAATATGACTTTTCCGCTGTCGCCAAAACAATAATCAAATGTCATGTCAAAAGAAGAAAATTATAATAAAAACAAATGTTAAGTAAACGATCGTGGAGAATTATAATAAAAAAAAAATAGCATATAAGAAGAAATTATAATAAACCCATAAGAATAAATGTGAGTTTTATGTTTTTTTTCTACCAAAGAAATTCCATAAAAAAAGAATGAAAAAGTAATCCTCAAGCCTAAAGAATTAGATTGAGAGTAAGAGTAAGAGTACACATTTGATTTTCATTACAATCATGTGGTAAATACCTACCATTTATTGATTACACATGCACACATCACACACTCGCACGAACCCACGCACCTACACGCTATTGTGTGCCATTGCACACAAGCACGTGCACAAATGCACACATAGGTTGAGAATTCTGTAATAGTGGATGTACTAAATTTTTTTTTTTTAAATGCCCCTAGAAAGTTATATATCTGACAAATTTTAAGATCTATCTCGAACAATTTTTAACGATATAGTTGCAGCCCCATGAGTTAGCGATGAAGTGGAAAAGGACCTGCTAGTTTCTTGTCTTTTTAGAGTAGAGTTGCCTGGATCGGAATCATACTTCCTACCGCTAACACGTGTCCTGGGCGTTGCAGCACAACCAAAGCCTCATTGTGGCGGGCCTTGTACATCTTTCCAGGGCCCTTTCAGATCTATCCAAATCTAGTAGTATTGCTACAGTCAGAGAAAAGGTAATGAAACCTTTTTGGCCAAGCAGTTCTATAAAACAAAGATTTCTTCACAGATTGAAGAAATATGATTAGAATTAAGAGTGTTTGTTGCAAACAAACTTTGGGCAAGCAGTTCTATAAAATAAGATTCCGTAGCTCGTGATCCTTTACAAAGTTCAGCGTGAAAAATCAATCATAACTACCTGTTCAACGGTTTGTAGAGGACGACGGTGACATACTTTGAGTGGAACCTATGAGTAAGTCCCAAGGCAACCACAGACTGAGAAGCCCATCCTTTCTCTATGAAGAGGTGGTTAAGCACAACATGTTGAGGCTTTGAGGATGAAGCTTCATCAGCATTCTCCATACCTAGAACCGTGAGGTGCAGCTGCGATGGCACGGCTGCTGGCTCCTTGGCGAAGTCTTCCTCGCTAGGGAACACCTGGCTGTAAGTTGTCTCCGGTGATGGTGGAGCCTCAAACTCGGCCAAGCTCTGTAGAATATCAGGCGCGCTATCCTACGGAACAAAAACAACTCCAAGATGAAGAATGAATATGAATTATTTGACCAGTTAGACCTTTGCATCTCTTTCTAAAGTAATTTTGTCCATGAGTATTCAACATTTAACAAGATGCAATACGGTAAAATATAATGTGAAACATAATTGATTTTGCTTTTGATCCAGAAAAGTTAATTGAGTTATGCTGATTATCAATAGAATATGAACTCGGATAATAAACGCATTCGAGAAACATAAGAACAGCCTAGAACCTCCTATCCTATCCCATTCTAGTTCTATGATCTGCGTGCATGACCAGCCATTACTAATATGAAGCGTGTGTATGTGTTATATTTTTCTTTTGTAGCTCAGCTGCTAGCACTTTATGGACAAACTACTCTAGTCCATGTATTTTTGTTCCTCTTCCCGTATCTATCGATTAATCTACGATAAAACAATCGATTAGCAACTCCTGACAAGCAAGAAGACATGAAATATATTACATTTGTGCTATTTACAAACAGAATGAATGTGTTTCATTGCACAAAAGAATGGACAAGAGAGCCTGTCTAAGCCAACATCGATGCATCTTCCTGTTTCGATGTATAATTTTCTAATTGACATGTCTAGATTTATCGTTTTTCTCCCTTCCAAATATCATAAAATCAAGTAACCAAACAAAACCAGATGGAAGCTAGGGCAGTTCTCCGTAGAGTAAAATATGCATGACATGATAAAGAAAATACTTTCCGAGTCGTATCCAGAGCTTCTACAGTTGCTAGATCGAGGATCAAAACAAAATTCTCAAGTACTTGTGTTTATATATATATATAAATATATATACACACGGTCGTGTTCAAGAAAAGTGTTAAAAAAAGAACTGTTCCAGGAGATTTTGGCATCATTCAGACCAGCCAACAGATTTGTAAGCACACGTCGTTGCTTCTTTCCTATGCTCTATCCTTTTCTTCCTTCTCTTTTCTTTTGGAACTTGTATGGTCATAATCTGAGACAGTAAGACTGTTTTGGCTATCTGAGTTTCTACACAACTTTAGGGTCTTAGGGAGTGGAGAAGAATCCTCATTCTTTTCTTTGGTCATTTTCCAGGTTTGAAACTAAAAATATCAAAAGATATCTATATCCAACGTATGAGTGAAGACCAATGATGTGCTGGTTCAATGTGTAAATAATCATCCATTAGTTAACCATTTATTACACATTACTAAGGTCGCATTTATAAACCTCATCAAGCCTTGGAGCTTACGTTAGAAGAGCAAAAGGCCCGGGGCTAGGGTATGCTGAGGGGGGACTGCGTAGGTGAGCAAATGTGTGTAAGCCCACAAAATGGAAAGAGTTCCTTTCTTCCTCAAATTGGATTAATGTCGTCCAACTGGAAGTTTGCCTTGCTTTTCAGGTATTGCCTACAATATATCGAGCAAGTACTTTTGCACACTTGGTAATTTCCATTTCACAAACTATAAACGCATCATTCGTCAATATAAATAATGAATCGAGTTCATAGTTCATGCCTACTGGATGGTAATGATAATGCAGATGGAGGCAAGAATCACACTTACAGAAACATTGAGAAGATTAAAGACATTGCCCATCTCATCAGCTATGTGAGGAAGATCTGGAATATATCTCTTTTGACCATCGACGATGAACTTGTAATGATATACTCCAGATGGAAGAACGATAAGTATCGAAAAATCTTTACCAGTCCTCTGCAGGATCTTCCTGCAGAAGCAGTGTAACATAATATTTCATTACTTTTTCAAAATGCAACGGAACTAATGTCATGAAGCAGGCTCGGAAGAACCGCGACAGCCCAGAAGCAATGAGAAATAACCTGGATGCCCAGTTGTCCCAAGACCCCTCAATAGCCACGCTGCCGCCACCGTAGCTCCACGTAATAATCGTCGGGATCCCTTGCTCTGGAGGATTATCTACAGTTTCATGGAACTCGTTCTGCCAAGCTTCATTGTAATGGGTTGGACCATTACCTCCTTGCAAGGGAGCTACAGGAACCTGCAAGTCTTGTAGTATATAACCCACCATCATTACAAAAGCCATAACCAAAGCTAATCATCATACAAATTCACATTTGGATCATCTCAAAAAACAAGTTCAACTTATAATCTAGCCAAGATATTTGCCCAGCAAGATCAAATCTGGAACTCAATCACTAAACTCAATGAATATATTATCAAAGCTTTGATCAAAACCGAAGTAATATTCAGCTCCATGACAGACTTGATTCCAGCAACCAACCAACTCTAATGAATTAATCAGTAGTTTGAAGGGGATCAGGGTTAAGAGAGTAATCCCAGCTGTTCATATACAAACTGTAATGGATCAGACATTTCGGCCATTAATCTCCAAAGAACACAGCATTAAGCAGATGATCCAAAGTAAAAACACAAGAATCAAACACTCAACATTATGGAAACATCTGGGAGTTAATCTTAGTCAAAGTAGTCAACGAAGTGGATCTTGGAGTGGAACTTCACCATTTAAGACTATCGCAATACAGCGATCTTTATAAAGAAATTTCCCGGGAAACACAACTTCCACCGAACAATCAAAAACAAAAAGAAGAGATCGACACATAAACACAGTACACAATAGAGAGAGATTATATGAAGAAGAACGAAATAGTGACCTGTGGAGCGAACAAGATAGGGGATCGGAGGTTCCCAGGGCTACCAGGAGGAGTATTTACCATCGAATCTGAAGAAACGACGTTGCTCGTTTCACTAACCAACGAACTGCCAATCACCGGACCTTGTCCACCGGCGTCGGCTACCGCTCCTCCACCACCGCCGGGAGAACTCTCCTCTCGACCATTGGCATTTCCCATCAACCTAAAAAACGAAACGAGTCGCGGAATTCCAACCGACAGAGGATCGTGTCGTAATCAACATTCAAACGCTTTGAAATTACTGGATCAATAAGAGGGCCAATTGGATGGAAATTTGGATTCCCAATCCAACCCCTAATTTGGATTATGTGAGTGTTCGTTCGTTGATTTCGGGAAGCAGAAGCAGAAGAAGAAGAAGACAAGGGGAGTTTTAGAATAGATATGCCCCACGAGAACTCATCTGCAGGCGAGATGAGAGAGACGACTTTCTCTCTCTAGATTTGATATGGGGATAGGAAAATAGCCTCCGGGTTTGGTTTATTTACGAAAATTGCCACTCTGATCTGATGGGGACGCCACCCGTTAGACTTATCTTCTTATTTTGTTTCTCTCACCGCTGGCTTAGGGTTAGTCGCCGACCACCAATTCCGCCGCCGCCAGAGTCAACTGGTTTCGTTGACTTTTTCAAATTTCATTTATTTAGAAAAATAATAATAATAAATAAATATAGTCCTTACACTTTTTAAAATTACAATTTTGTTAAAAAATAGTCTCCCCAATTTTTTATTTTATTTTCTTACCAAAAAAAAAACTTTTTTTATACTAATCTTTTAAATATTCGATAAATTCATACCATTTTAATTAAATTACAACGCGCGTAAATATGAATATATTAACATATAAAGATATTTTATTTTGAGATTATAAATTTAAAAATCATAATTAAATCGCTCCAGTATCAATTTTTACCGTATTTAAATTTAAATGTACTGTTACAACACTTACCAGCATTTAATGAAATTCCTAATTTAGGTTAAACTATGGTATAATTTGTATTATATTTTATCTAATAAATAATAATATGATATTTTAATTAAATTATATGAGGGAGGAAAAATTTTAATCTATAATTATTTAATTGGTTGGTTCCATTTGACATTAAATTTATTATTATTATTTAATAAATGATAACAAAAAAAAGATATTTTCGTGGACTTCTAGGATTGTAAAATTAGAATAAATAAAATAAAAAAGGGAAAAGTAAAGTAGATAAGGATTTGAGATGCTACCTTATCCACTTATGAAACGTGTAACATTTATTTAATTATTTAATTATTCAATATAATCATACGATCATTACATTATTGATTTGACTAGCGAACTAATGTAGTAATATATATATATATATATATATATATATATATATTTTTTTTTTTTTTTTTTTTTTTGACACTTTTTCTTCTAAAAATAAAAAAGTCTTATTTATTTAACCATTAAAAAAATGTCATAATTTAGTAATTTTCTTTTAGAAAATAAATTTATGGAGAAGAGATATAGTGTTTACTCTCGCTGGGGGCCTGTAGCCTAGCGAGCTACTCTATGGTGCATGCGTCTGTCGCTGTGTAGGCAAGCATCACGAGATGAGCGGTCTCTTACTTTGAAAAGGGTCTTTCAAAAATAATATTGGACGACACACGTGTGCCGATTTGGCACCCAATCAATGTGTTGGAGGTTGAATTATGCACTAACTATCTGGAACGTATGTCATAAATTTTAGCATGAACATGGGAGAATTTGATGCTCGAGTGAATTCGAAAGGATGGATGCTTGGAGTATCTTGATGAGATGATCAACACATGGGTCAATTCCCAATAGATGTGTCCAAGCATGTCAAGATAGCAGATGTTCCCCAAGACACGGACAACATTACGATGCATGGATTGTGTTGTTGGAAATTGAGATGACAGTGAGATGCGACGTTATTGTGTTGCAACGATTGAACATGCATGGACGAACAACATGTGGCCGATATTTAGTTCAAAAGATGACTCGTCACGTCGAATTATAGTGAACTGAATGAGATCATCATATGCTAATCATCAGCAATCATCATATGTTAATCTAAGAAGTGTCTGCCTTTTCTTCGGGCGGCTTCTTTTAAAGCTTATTTTGATGAGTTTTAACCTCAATCGTGGCGTTTGTGAAAGCACTTTTCCACATGTTGAACAACATCTATAATCACAATTTCGTAACTTAATGAACAAGAAATAAGTCGAGAGTATCGAACCCGTTTGAATTTTTAAGATTCTGAAAATAGTCTTTTTTTTTTTCTCGTTTTAGAATTTTGAGTAAAGCTGACACTAATGATTAAATCTAAGCTTCAATTGTTATGCTATCAAACATGTTTTCGAACTAAATTTTTATTGTCAACAACCATCTCAAATTCAAACACGATAGAGAATGCTATGGCAGACAGCGGAAAAACGACAAAAGAATGAAAGAAAATTCGAAGGTACCTGAAATCGCCATCGTTTTGGATTTTACAGACGTTGAGACAGTGAGAACACCAATCCATCGAAACGTTGAAGAACAGAGAAATCAAATCAAATCATCTAAAATTATTCGAAGAATTCGTCATTTACAAATGTATTTAGCGATTGCTATTTCGAGATTCTAAAATATATAAAGGATTAGTAAGTTTGAGGATGGAAGATTCCTCCACTCCCTTGGAGAGCAAGTTTCATATATTTGAAGTCCTTGGAGAGCAAGTTTCATTTCTTACTCATTTTTTTGCATTTTATTCCTTTAATAATTTTAAATCGCATTTTCTTTTTTTCTTTTTTTTTTTAAAAAAAATTAATTAACTTTAATTTTTTTATAAATTTGTAAAGCAAACGTCAATTATTTTTAATCATAAGAAAATTTTATATAGTTAGTGATTAATAAAATATTTTAAAATTTTAAAATCTTTTATAATATTATCGAGTTATATTTTAAAATAACAATTACTTTTTTTTAGAACTAAAATAAATAATAAGTTTTAGTGTATAAAGTTGTTCATGAAAAATATGGTTTTATTTTAATGAATATTTCAAATTGTTTTTAAAATATTTTAATTTAATTCATAATTTTAAGCCAACAAGGAAGCATCTTTCACTGTTTATTTGACTTTTATTTTCTAACTTGGACTTCGTCTCATCTCACACAAAGTTAAGATTCTTTAATAATTTTCACCAATTAATAAATATTCCTATTTTTCATTTATTTCAATAAAAATATTATTTAAAAATAGAAATGTTATATTATTACCTAAAGATGGTTTGAGAAAACTATATGATGTATAGTTTTAAAGTACTATTTTTGTTTTTTTGGATGAAAAATCCCGACATTTAACGCAATTTTTATTAGGTTTCAAGCTCCTCGAAACATTAAACCATTTCATTTTTTTCATTTTTCCATCCGTCAACTAAAGATTCAAAACTCCAATTTCTTAGATATAAAAAATATTAATTGTTTAATTGTGATGTCCCATGTTGGTTGGAAGAAAACAAAACACAAGGGCGTGGAAACTTCCACTTATAGACGCATTTTAAAGCCTTTAGAGAAAGCCCAAAAGAGAAATCCTTGTGTGGAAACCGCGTTTTAAAGCTTGAGAGAAAGCCCAAAAGAGAAAGCCTTGTGTGGAAACTTCCCCTAATAGACGCATTTTAAAGCCTTGAGGGAAAAAGAGAAAAGCCTTGTGTGGAAACTTCCCTAGTTATAGACGCGTTTTAAAACCTTGAGGGAAATCCCAAAAGAGAAAGTCTTGTGTGGAAACTTCCCCCTTATAGAAGCCCAAAAGAGAAAGAAAGAGAAAGCCTTGTGTGGAAACTTCCCCTAATAGATGCATTTTAAAGCCTAACCCAAAAGAGAAAGTCCAAAGAGAACAATATCTACTAGGTGAATCTGGGCCGGTTCCCCAAAGAGGGCAGACATGAGGCAGTATGCTAGGACGCTAGGCCCCAAGAGGGGTGGATTATGATGCTCCACATTGGTTGAAGAGGAGAACAAGACACCATTTACAAGGGTGTGAAAACGTTCCCCTAGCAGACGACTTTTATAGCCTTGGGGGAATCCCGAAAGAAAAAGCCCAAAGAAAACAATACGTACGAGCGGGGATCTGGGCAGATACAGTTTAATATTAAAAATACCAATTGCATCCACTTTTGAAAATTGTAAAGCTAAAATAGAAAACTAAGAAAATGATCATCAAAACAAAGACCTTAGAACTTGCCTTCTTTTGCTTTAAGCCATCAGGCTTTGAAGGAAAGCTTCTTCCTCAGCAAAATGACTCTCCATCTAAATTGGCAAGAAAATGCAAATTCATGGTGCAAACATGGCCACAACTAAATCAACCTAGAAAATGAACTAATTTGGCTGCGGCTATCAAATTCGTTCCCCAACAAGCGTATCGAAACGAAGCTGTTCTATCCAGTTTTTTTTTTTTTTTTTTTTTTTTTTTTTTTTTTTTTTTTTTTTTTACATGTTACTTGAAGAACACATTTGCATTTACACAAGAAACAATGATGTTTTGAGTTATCAGGTTCTTTGCTTAACCCGTCTTCCATTGGAATCGCCACCATCAGAGAGTTGCGCCCAAACGCTCCGCGATTTCGATCCGTTGACACTGACGTCCCCACATTGTTGTGCAAGGGTCTTCAGGATCTCCGATTGAAGTGAAGGGTTGTTTTCCTTCAATTGCTCAAAACCTTTTGATTGCATCACAGCTGCACAAAATGGAAATATCAGAATCTATGATGAAGAGGCATTTCAAGGCGAGAATGAAGGGCAAATGAGTGTTCTTAAAGATGTGTTTGGGACATTTGAAGGGGTAAAGAGGATTTTTCAGCTAAATGGTAATTTTAAAATTCTAATCAACTAGAAGTGCTTTTAGAAGAAGCACAAAACTAGTACTTTTTTGAAAAGTGCTTAACAGATGATAACAAAGGTGCACTCTCATGTGGTTCTTATCAGCAAGATCACTGGTAGGAAGTTAACAGAAAGGGAAGATGTTTTAGTAAAGAATTTGCTAAAGCAACAAAAGGCGGAAAAAAGGCGGAAAAAATGCGGTAAAAATGCCCAAACATGATACTTTCAATGTGAGATCCCACATCGGTTGGGGAGGAGAACAAAGTATTCTATATAAGGGTGAATAAACTTCTCTTTAGCATACGCGTTTTAGAAACCTTGAAGGGAAGCTCGAAAGGAAAAGCTCAAAAAGGACAATATCTGCTAGCGGTGGGTTTGAGTGGTTACAAATGGTATCAAAGTCAGACACTGGGCGGTGTGCCAGTGAGGACGTTGGACTCCGAAGAGGGGTGGATTGTGAGATCCCACATCAATTGAGAAAGAAATGAGTGCCAGCGACGCTGGGTCCCAAAGGGGGTGGGTGGATTGTGAGATCCCACATCAGTTAGGGAGGAGAACGAAGCATTCTTTATAAGGGTGTGAAAATTTTCTCTAGCATACACATTTTAAAAACCTTGAGGAGAAGTTTGAAAGGAAAAACCCAAAGAGGACAATATCTGCTAGCAAAGAACATTCAAAATCGCTAAGGAGAATCAACCAGAAAGCAATGCTATGGGAGATATGATTGGAGTGAAACTATAAATTTTGCTAATAAGGAAAAACTGGGAGGATGGGTCAACCCAAGCAGCTATGATATGATATTGATAACCTTGTCTAATGATATGATATTGATAACCTTGTCTAAAGGTCAGAAGTTCAAATCCTCACTCCCACCCCTCGTTTGATCTCACAAAAAAACGAGGATATAGTCGAAAAGGTTAGGTCAAGTGCTTTATACTATATCAATGAAAGTAATATTTATTTATCAAGAAAAACATAATATTTCTGTGTTTAACATTTTATCAGGATCATGATGACTAAATCAAAAAACAAAGTACCTCCAAGGTTCATGGCAGCAAATCTCAGGCAAACTGCTTTCAATTCAGTGGCATGGTGCTCCTCTGCAAAACTCAGTACTTTTGCAACAGAGTGTACAGAAAGATCTTTACAAAGATGAGATTCACACATCAATCTCAATCTCTCCAAACCGTATTTGTCCGCTGCTGCTAACAATTTTGCCATAAAGTTGTCACCCACACAAGATTCAGAAGATGAACTCGAGGTCGATACGACCACGTCCTCGGCGATGGAATCAGTATACATAAAGTGCAGCAAAGCCTGATGAAAATTAAAGCAACTTCAGAATGAAAACATTATACATAATCCAGTGATTAATTGCAACGAGCAACGCAGAAACCAGTACTCATGAAGTGTAAAACAAAAGAGACGACAAAATTAATCGTGTTTATATTATACCTTAAAAACGTTAGGTTCTAGATTTTTCACAATTATCTCCTGCTTATTTTTTTCCAACATATTCAGAAATTCAGACCGAAATATAGGTGATCTAGCAGCCAATATCAACTTGTGAGCTTGAAAGTTTTCCCCATCAACATCAAAAGTGACATCTGAACCTTCTAAGTTTTCAAGTAGTGCACCAAAATAAGCTCCAATATTAGACTCGGGAACAGAAATCATCTGTGAATGTGGACGCTCTATTGATGAAACGACAACTCCAACAGTGCAATTTATTTGTAGGCAATCATCCTTGAGGTAGTCAGAATTTTCAAGGGTAGATCGTCTAAGAAAACGCTTGTATCCCCTACATTCACAGATCAAAGAAAAGTCAAATCTTCAAGAGATATCTGAGGACCAGTGATAGAAGAGAGAATAATGAAAGTTCAGGAATGGTTCAAGCCTTAAAAACACAATGATTTTTTCCAATGACAAGAACAAAATTTTCATCAAATTATGAAAAGTCCAAAAATAGAGGATAGATAAACCATCACGGAGCTCAAATTCAATAAGCTCATACAATTACTCGAACCGGCATACTATACATGTATACGAGTGACCAAAAGTGAATTCCCAATGCATATCGTTATAGGCTTTTCAAGGCACCCCCTCATCTTTTTAACCATCATCTCATCCACTAATTTATCGACAACAAGAATTAGAATCAAGCAAGCTGTCATCCCCAAATATAACACACAAATCATTTCCCAACTTAAATTTTTTTGTATTTAGCTATCCCAAACCGCGAGCAAGAAGCAGCTATTATTGATCTATAACAAAGAAACCAAACATTTGAAGCAAGACCACACATACCAAAGGAAGTCACCGTCTGACCCTCACAATATCTCATCTTCATTAATAAACGAAGCCACTTTGATAATTAAGCAAAGTTCCACTTTCTCATATTTCGTGCAGCATAGCCTCCTAACTGAGGTGGGGAATTCCTCTCTTTAAGCAAGATCCTATAGAAATTTGTCTATTATTCCTCCCAATCAAGAAGCCTACCACAATCTATTGTTTTATTATATGTAAACATGGGTGTTTGGAACAAATTATGGGTACCTTTATTAATTCATATGACACTTATTTGTCCCCCAACAGTATTTGGTGTTAAAAAAAACTTGAGGTCTGAATCACATATTAGATACCTTAATAGGTTGCAATCTTGGTCTACAACTTGCCCCTTCGACATTTGGGCCAATCCATAGGTATAACACTCCCCTTACTTTGAATGAGCTATTTTTATTAAAGAGACAACCAAGAATATACCACTAAAGGTGAGTGGGTGACATTGAGAGGAAGCAACTACCCTTACTAATGATGACCAGCCACAAAGAAACCCGAACAACTCTTGCATAAACATTTGAAAAATAGAAAGATGGCTTTCAAATAGCTGCATTTTGAAGTAAGCCAATGATAGTCTGAACAAATTGCACTCAAGACTCAAAAAAAACTTAGGCAATGTATGAAAAATATATATCGTTACCTTTGTTCCCCCGTAACAACGTTGTTAATAACACAAATCAAGGGGTCAAGTTGACTTAAGAGCTCGCTACGACATCTCATTACAAATGTGAGTTTTTGCTAAGAATTTAGATGCATGGCCATGGAAAAACTAAATAAAAAAACAACAATGAACAAAGATACTAACATGATTAATATAGTATAGACACGGTTACTTGTTGTAAATTGAAACTCGGGACTAGAATAATCATATTGCAGTAATACTCATATTCTGTTCTAACACAATCAAGTTCCAACTAACATGGTTAGGATAAATTTAATCTTTTTTACCAATACAGTAAGGCTACAAGGTTCGATCGAACCCGAGACCTCCCACTTTGATACCATGTTAAATCATTGATCGACCTAACTTTATCACTACTTTAAGATCACCACATATATGAACACAGAAAACAAAAGGGGAAAAACCTTCCACGATTATGAATGTACATATACACCAATCAAGAGCTTGAATCCTGACGCACGATCAAAGGACTACCACAGGACATAGGTTCACTAATCCAAACGTTGTATTTCTACAAAGAGCAACCTATTCAAGAATTGATCACCTAATCAAGAATTTCACAGTAAAAAATAAAACATACCACATACTACCGCGATACTTCAGAGTATACGGACCACTCTCGAGTGACCGCTCAAAATGGCTATGAACCTTATGCTTCCCATTTCCGCTCTGATCGACAAGTGTGAGTTCAAACAACGCTCTCACATCGGTGCCATCGCTCGCCAGTGCGATGAATATGGAGACATAGGTCGAATTATCCTCAATATTCTTCCCATCCGGATAAAAGTAAACCGCCCATTGATACCCTCCGACGGTGAAATTATCGCTGGCAATGTGCTTTCCCGGTCCCATTCCCTTCGCCAAAGAGTACCCCTGGATGACGAACTTATGCGAGCCATTGAGAGTGTGAGTCACCGACCTCGAACTCGTCGGCGAGTCGGAGGGGCTCCTCTCAGGTGCGCTGGCGGTGGGGGTATTGGAATTAGTATCGGCCATCTGAATTCATTACAAGGCTGTGATTGTTGTTAAATTCATGGAAGTGAGGGCAGGATTTCGGAGTTGGGATTGAGAAATTGCGAAAATAGATAGAATCTGATGAGGAAATTTTTCAAGAATTTGACACAAAGAGAGGGGGAATTTTGAAGAAAACGGCTCAGGGTTGAGCTATTGTTGGTGGGTTTTGGAAAGTGTATGAAATTTCGCTCAGCTTTTTTCTTTTTCTTTTTTCATTTTTTTTAATATTTAAAACGGCACTTATAATATAATAGTGTTTATAAAAGCCTTCGTCTCCCTCTTTCACTGATTTCTCTGTTTATCTAATTCATCAGTCTTCTAATGGCGGATCACTCGACCGCCATGATTTTCCCTGATGAAGCTCTCAGAATTGTACTGGAAGTCGCTCAACGCCTTCCTCCCGTCACCGTTTCTCTTCACGATGCTCTTGAGAAGGTCTTGGCCCAGGATTTTCGCGCTCCGGGCCCTTGCCGCCCTATCCGGCCTCCATTAAGGTACTTCCATAGCTCAGTAAGCATAATTTTTCTTCATCCGGAATTGGATCGTTTTCAGTAGGTTTATGATTGGTGATTTTCTTCGTTAACCGGATGAAAATTTGTTTGCTCCATTCGGAGCTGATGGAATTTTTTAATGGAAGGAATGAGATCATAGTATACACGATTGACTGGAAGATGTTCTTGATTCCAGTGGTGCTGATAGAAATTGTCTGTGGATTTTTCTTTTTGCTTCGCTGTCTAATTTGAAGAAATGATGTCGATGTTATGTTCATGTTTGATTTGCGAAGTTCTTCTGAAGTGCGATGGCTACGTTCATTACATGTCTGCTCTGTATAATTTGTAAAGGATTCGGTATTGGTATCACTGTACTTTGGTTGTGGCATTCTGCTACAACAATTGGTATAAGAACATTTTTAGTTGCGCCATTTTCTAAACAACACTTACCAAGGTATGAAAATTTAATGAATCTCTAGGTGAACCCCGAAAGTACGCCGAAGTCAAGCCCGCCCTCCTGAACATGGTCGCTGCTTCGGAGCTCCTCCGCTCGCGGCTGGGCTGTGCCAAGTGAGTTTGAGAATACTGTGGGGTTAGGAAACAAAAGAACCTTGAATTCCCATTTGATATAGAGATTGTTAGAAGTAAGTAATTGTAAATATGGCAATTTTATTTCCATCATTTTGAATAAACAATTTGACATATTTGAGTTGTTCACTTATGAACAAGACCTTCATGACTGGTTCTTCACAATTCTTCATCCACATGACCTTTGTTTGTAACTTTCAGATACAGAATCACGAGAACAGCAATACCCAAAACCAAAGTCACCATAGTTTTCCTTAATTCCTTCACCACCCCATCAATAACCTGTTTGTACCCTTCTCTTCTTCTCCACAGGAAACTCTCTTCCACCGTTCCCTCACTCCTCCTCCTCCTCTCCTCTGCAACTTCACCTTCCTTCTCTTCCCTTCCATGGCTGCCCTTTTCCCCATTCCCTTTGCCCTCTCCCATTTTCGACCCAATTACTTCTTTCCCCCTTTCCTCATCTCTTGTCTTCTCCATAGCTTCCTTCAGATTTGTGTGTGCTTTTGCCTTCTCCTCCTCTGTTTTTTCCTTTTGGGGAGAGGGGGTTTGTTTCCCATGTGCCTGTTCTTGAGGCTCCTCATTTTGTCTCTGTGGGACAGTTTGTGGGCCGACTAGGAGATTCTGCTGATCCTCTAATTCTTTTTTTAGATCTGTTGTCCCTGGGGAAGTGGGGGCTTCTTTGCTACTTGATTGTGATTGGCGTTTCTCATTTCGGCTGTTTGGGGCATTTTGTGGAACAGTTGGTAGGTGGACTGTGGATTTTTCGGCCGCTGGCTTCGGAGGCTCGGCCGGTGGTTGGGGATCGGCTTTGGGTTTCCCGGCCGCTGGCTTCGGAGGCTCGGCCGGTGGTCGGGGATCGGCTTTGGGTTTCCCGGCCGCTGGCTTCGGAGGCTCGGCCGGTGGTCGGGGATCGGCTTTGGGTTTCCCGGCCGCTGGCTTCGGAGGCTCGGCCGGTGGTCGGGGATCGGCTTTGGGTTTCCCGGCCGCTGGCTTCGGAGGCTCGGCCGGTGGTCGGGGATCGGCTTTGGGTTTCCAGGCCGCTGGCTTCGGAGGCTCGGCCGGTGGTTGGGGATCGGTTTTGGGTTTCCCGGCCGCGGGCGGGGGTCGGGACTCGGGCTTGGGCTTGGGCATGGACGTTGGCTTCTCCGGTAGGTTGGTGGAAGCAGCGGCAGAGAGTTTTTTGGGGTGTTTGACGTAGAGGACGCCATCCTCGAACTTGGCAGAGATCTTGTCGGTGTCAGTATCGGTGGGGACATCTAGCTCCTTGTAGAATCGGAGCCACTTGTTGCCTTCGATCATCCGTTCGCCGAAGGCCCTCAACTTTCCAGTGGATGTCACCTGGACTTTCAGTTGGCTGCTTCTAAAATCTGTAGAACAAGAATACTCGATGACGAAGGAGAAAGCTCAAGGAACAGAAGAAGAAGAAGAAGAAGAATTTATTTATTTATTTATTATATTATGAGTTTTGTTTTTTTAAAATTAAAAAAAAAAAATGTGTTGAATAAATCTCTTTTTCTTTTTCTTTTTCTCTTAATTCGTGGCATTAAATATTCAATTCACTCTCTATCATTCTAAAATTTATTGTTTTTAAAAAAACAATAAATTAGATTCCATGTATTTTCTTTTAGATAAAAATAATAAAAATTTTCTCAATTTTTTTTTCCTGTTATTTGTACAAACAAATTCAATTATTATTTTCTCTGTTTTATTCTCATTGAGGTGTTTATATTTATATGTCTAAATATGTTAATAAAATAATAACTCATTTTAACTCATTATAAAGTAAGATTTGTCTTTAAAAAATAGTTTTTTTTTTAGCTCCTATATTTTAATCTTATTCTAGTTTTTGAAATTTATAATATAAAAATTATCCTTTGGATTTTCATTAAAATTGGCTTAATATTAATTTATATGGTTAGTTTATTGTTGGGAAAAAAAATCATTCAATAAGATCTTTTATTTGAAAATATATGTAAAAAATAATTTTATTACTAATTTGTATAAAAATAATAATAATTTCATGACTAAATTTAAAATTTAAAATTTATTGAGATTACAGCAATAAATTAAATATGTCAAAATTTGAAGGATATAAATAAAATTTCAAAATTCTATTTAAAATAATTTTAGAGTGCGGTTTTCGAATGGCAAAAAACGCACGAAGGAGGAGGCGAGATGAATCAACAAACCTTTAAGGGGGACAGTAAGAACACGAGAATTATGATCCTCATGCCAAACAAATGTAGGCGAAAAATCTCGATAATTTTTCGAAGAATCCATCGGTATCGGTAATTCTGATTTCTTTTTTTTGCTTCTCTTGACGGAGATTTCAATATCTTCGATGTCTTCTATGCGATTTTTATACACTAAATGACTTGGTATCAATGTTGATTCCAAATCGTGATTTGAAACCTTCGCCTCGATTAGTAATTCCTTCCATTGAAGCTTTCTTGTCAACGCAGTTGTCGAAGGGTTAAGAGATATGCCTTTTTGGTCGCTTCATTCTTTGGAAATGTGAAGATTCTTTGTTTCTTTCTTCAACTTTTGATAAAATTTTTATATTGAAATGTCTATACGATAATTTTTAAAATGATGTGTGTGTTAGACGAACACGACTTTTCACAATAATATGATATTGTCCACTTTAAGCCATGTAAAGAGTATTATTTAATTATAAACACATCGATCATTTTCATCACCCAACCATGTAAAAATTAATAATTTATTGTTATAATTTGGCCTAAAAATATATATTAAATAATGTCTATTTCATTTTTTTTGGTTTCCTTCCACGATAAATATTTTTAATTTAGAGTTTTAAAATTTTTAAAATAAAAATTGTTAATAATAAATATTAATTTATAAAAAAGATAATTAATTTAAATAAATGACAGGTAATTGTTCATAAAATTTGGTGGACAGTTGATGGCCACAAAAATGATAAAATCCAGACGCTTCTTCTTCTTTCTAGAAATCATGCAACAATCTTAAACGCATCTATGTAAGCTGTTTCTTCATCCATTCGGAATCCAAGGTTTTGCCATGGACGTGCTGAAATTCTCTTCTGTTCCACTCCACTTCACTGCCAAGTTGAACAAATCCCGATTTCTGAAGCAGTGTTTGCAGGTTAATCTATTGCCCTCGTTGCCTTCTTCATTGATTAGCCGGCATAGTCGAAGATTCAATCTCCGTGCGAGCGTATCTTCCACCATTTCAACGGAGGAATTTGAATATGCGAGTCCGTTTGAGGATGAGGCCGAGAATGAACGGCGAGAGGATGAGAGGTTTGATTGGTATGCGCAATGGTACCCGATTATGCCGATTTGTGACCTTGACAAGAGGGTGCCGCATGGGAAAACGGTAATGGGGATTGATGTCGTGGTGTGGTGGGATAAGAATGAGAGTGCGTGGAAGGTGTTTGAAGATTCTTGTCCGCATAGATTGGCTCCGTTGTCTGAAGGAAGGATTGATCAATGGGGGAGATTGCAATGTGTTTATCATGGCTGGTGTTTTAACGGATCTGGTGATTGTAAGTTCATCCCTCAGGCTCCCCCTGACGGCCCTCCGGTAAGGATTCTACCATCTTCCCCTGGTGAACTTATTGCTCTGCTTCAATTAGAGATTTAACTTCATGGTTGCATCGAATTCAACTTCGAAAGAGTTTTGATTACATATTTGAATCTGGATTGTGATTCTGTTTATTCGCCAAGCATTAGTTGATTTGACATGATTTAATGAATAAACGAGAATGTCAATATAACGATTCACAAATTAACTTTGATTGCCATAAACAAAAGAGATTTCTTATGCTGCTTGCTAGTTGCTGGCACTTTGTTTTGGTGTTAATGGTAGAGATGACACAAAATCAAACAGTTCAAAGTGGAGAACCCTGTTAAAGTTAGGCATAGCACTAAATTGTTAATTTACCCATTATTAACATATTTCTACCAAACTGAAATCAACATTACTGAACCTTCTCGTCTCGTCATTTTTTGTTTCATGATAATATAGTTCAGAAGGAATTTGGAGAAAATGTGCTTAAACTGCTTATTAAGAACATCAGTTCATTAATGACAAATCAGAAGAATGTAGTTTTTCGTATAACACAACTTTTCTTGAATGCTGAAAAACTTACTAAATGATTTACCTTAGATTCAGAATTTGATTTTACTTCCTATTTCTGTCGTTGGTGCATATTGTTCCGGTGGTGAATATTGTTCAGAATCTGACATATTGCCGTAGAAAATGAAGTCGTATTCAGAAGTTAACAAGAGTCATATGCTAAGATAGTTAAAAGATTAAGTATTGTGGTTATATTAGTCAAACTTTAAATAACTGGACAAGAGTCTGCTAATTTTCTTCCTTCGATTTGCAGGTTCACACGTCCAAAAGGGCATGTGTTGCTGTTTATCCTAGCATTGTGCAGAATGACATTTTATGGTTTTGGCCAAATAGTGATCCCCAGTACAAGGATATTTTGGTGAAGAAAAAACCCCCTTACATTCCTGAATTGGACGATCCGTCATATACTAAGTTAACTAGTAACAGAGATCTTCCATATGGGTATGGAGAGCCTGATTGTCACTTTTTACTCATCTGCTTTCTATTTGATCTTGGCCAGTCTAGTTATAGAGGAATTATGAAGGAAGCTATCACGAATGTAGTTGAACTGTGCTCTTTTTCTCATTTTCGTTTTATCTTTTTCCACCGAAAGAAAATCGAATCATTGATTTTAAGCTGAGGAAATTCTATTTAACAAAAAGATCATGACCGTATTCTCGAGAAACGGTCTAATTCATAGCAAAAGACTGATTACTAGCTCTTCATAGTAGAACCAACGATGGTGAACTGGATAAGTTAACAATAAGATTGTTACTTACTGTTAGGTGGATCTCAATGTAGAAGATTGTATTCTTCTTTCTTTTATCAAATAACTTAGGAGCCATACGAGATGAAAGTCTCATACACGGTTTTGAATGAGAGAAAGAAGTGAGGAATCCTCCTTTCGACTCTGACTCTCCCACTCAAGTAGTTGCTTTTCTTTTTGTTACTTCTAAAGTAGTTGTTTCAGTTTCAACCACTCGAATTTTCGATATTCCTTTTTATTTCTCACCAAATGAATGACATGATTACTAGCTAATTCATAGTGGAACCAAAGAGGGTGAACTGGATAGGTTAACAATAACATTGATAAAATGAAAGGAGTTCGAGTGGGTAAATAAGACCTCTCTGTTACTCAACAACCCTCCTTCTCTTTACACTTTCAGGTATGAGATTTTGACTGAGAATCTTATGGACCCAGCTCATGTCCCGTATGCCCATTATGGGATAATGGGAATGCGCCAGCCCAATAACAGATGAGTATTCTGGGGTGGGAAGTCGCTATTTAATATTGTTTTTTCATATTTAACTGGATCTGATGGCTAGTATATATGGAATTTACAGAGAAAGCAGATAGAGAAGGAGGCAAACCAATTGAAATATTTGTAAAAGACTTGGATGCATATGGTTTCATCTCTAATCAGGAACTGGGAAATAGCCAATTTTTCGCACCTTGTGTATTTTACACTTCTTTTAGTTTAAGGTCTAAGAAAAGAACTCCAAAACACCAAGATAATGGAGCTCTCTTATCAGCTGAAAACAACGCGGTAAGAAATCTAGAAACTTCTTTTACACACGTTTTCGGGTGATGAAAACTTTGTTACTCTTTAGCATTATCTAGACTTATTATTTCTCTTCACTCGGGGGTATTATTTATTCTTCTTTTTCTGGTTGTATCAGGAAGCCCCGAACACATCACAGAGAAAAGCAATGCTAGTATTTATGTGTATTCCTGTTAGTCCAGGTCGAAGCAGATTAATATTTGTATCTCTAAGAAATTTTGCTATAGGGATTGATCGGATTATTCCGAGATGGGTCTTCCATGTGGGACAAAACCTCATCTTAGATTCTGATTTGTATCTTCTTCACTTGGAGGTAATGATGATCATCTTCTCAGCACATTCGATTAGTTTTTCGAAGTATAGATAAAAATCTTACAATGGTTGGTTAATTACTCTCTATCAATGTTCATTATTTCAACTCGCTGATAATATCTGGACCTCTCGTTATATGATGAAACGAAACCTCGAAGCTTACTTTCGTTAATCATTTGTGAAGGCAATAGCATTAGTGTACTTGAAGAAAACAATATGTTATGAATGAGCCTTAATTGTTTCATTTTATTTTTATGATTCTCTCCATCTTGTTATATCTGTTTGCCATTAGAAAGATCTCTTCTCTGGGATGAATGCTTCACTTGTTCTTGAACAGCACCTTATGAGCTCTGCTTGTTAAGCCTAAGAAAAAGAAGAGGTTTCATGAATTCATATTAATCCTATGATTATTTTGAGTATATTTTTACAGGAGAGGAAGATATTGGATGTGGGTCCTTCAAATTGGCAGAAAGCTTGTTTTGTGCCAACCAAATCAGACGCCAAAGTGGTTGCTTTCAGAAGGTGGTTGAACAAATATTCAGATGGCCATGTTGACTGGAGAGGCAAGTTCAGTGGCATTCTTCCTCCATCGCCTCCAAAGGAACAGCTGATGGATAGGTAACTCTTTAGCTGTTTCGCCTATAATATCGTACAAGTTTCTTATTTTCAAATGTGTTCGTCTCGTGGATTTAGCCGAAATGCATAAGTTAAAGAGTCTAAAATCCAACTTATATTCATTGCTATTGGGTCTTTGGAGACATAAAGACATCTTTGGTACCCCTTTACGTCATCCTTATTCTTTGAATCTGGTGCATTTCAAGGGCTGTTTAGGTTATTTTGAGAACTGTCTTGTCTTTTTTAATACAAGAACTCAGTAAACAAATGTTTGGATAATTTCTTTGTTTTTCTTGCTTTTTCATTGCTTATTTTCACAGATAATCTACCTTTTCGAAGTATCGAATTTCACACCTTTCGTCTTTTTACCCTCACAAGCCACTCAAAAATGGTTACCCAAAACGAAAAATGTTTCTAGGAGAACTATGAAGCAATTCTTTCACTCGATAACATTTGGTTTTGTTATCGATGAGTTTCTTTGTCTTGTTATCTACTTTCTAAAAACGTTTTCAAAATTCAACTAGTTTTATGAACTTATTTTTGTTTTTGAAATTTAGCTTAGAATTTAAACGTTTCTTTCATAGATGTGAGAACCCTATAAATTGCGAGGAAACAAAATCGTTTTCAAACTAATATAACTTGTTCGTTTCATGCACAGATCATTTCATCTCCACCAAATTTCCTTCCTGTCATATTTTTGCACATGGTTGTACATTTTATTTTTCATGTTCATCGACATCGATATTTTCATACCCGAAAATACTGAAAGTCGAGAGTGGGCGAACGGTTTCAG